AAAAAAAAAAAAAAAAAAAAAAAAAAAAAAAAAAAAAAAAAAAAAAAAAAAAAAAAAAAAAAAAAAAAAAAAAAAAAAAAAAAAAAAAATTATAGCCTTAGGAAGCAGAGGACAGCAGCCGGCGCCGGGGTGCGCCGTCCGCGGGCACCACTCCTCCTGCATCATCAAGCCCGTCGTATTAAATATATGTATGTATTTTTGTCGATGTGAGTGTGCCGAGGCACGCTGCGAACAGCCCCCCCCCAATCCAGTCTTGCATTTATTTCACCCCTGCCCTATGTGGCAGGGAGCGTCTGCCCGGGTAGTGGGGTTTACCCCGAGGCCCGCTCCGTGCCCCCGTCAGGGAGTACGACGACCCCGAAGAAGAGAAGTCATTTAAAAAGCGGTTATTGTTGTTTGTCTATAGCACATCATAAAATTTTAAACAAATTTTATTCAATGCTCGATAAGAAATTATGAACAATTATTTTCATGACCCGCCATCAGCTTAAAACGAGTATTTACTCAGATAGAATCAATATTCCGGGGGCCGGGACGGGGATGTAGTGACGTCATTCGAAACCCAGAACACTTTTGTTTGAAAATCTGCATTGCAGAGGGGGGTTACAGTGGGGGGTGTTAGGGATTGGGGGTTGGGGGGCGTTCTATACCCACACCATGCGGATTTCATTATTGATCCACACTACATGATGCACTTTGACATTTAATGAATTGTGAGCGCGAAGCAAACTCGTTTCAGCGCGGCTAGTTTCGATGAAACAACCAAACTGCATCTTATTTTTAATGAAATACAGGCAAGAAGCTAACCCTCTAGTGCGTATGTCTTCATTTTAGTTCCGTTAGTTAAGACGACGCAACCGAACTGAGTCTTATTTCTAATGAAATACAGGCAAGCGGCAAACCCCCTACTGCCAACGTCTTTGTTTTAGCTCCGTTATTTTCGATGACGCAATCAAACTGCGTCTTATTTCTAATAAAATACAGGCAAGCAGCAAGGCCCCTACTGCGCATGTCTTTGTTCTAGCTCCGTTTATATTGATGACGCGCACAAACTAAGTCTTATTTCTAATGAAATACAGACACGCAGCAAGGTCCCTACTGCGCATGTCTTTGTTTTAGCTCCGTTATTTTCGATGACGCAATCAAACTGATTTTTTTTTCTAGGCAAGCGGCAAGCCCCCTAGCACGCATTTCTTTGTTTTAGCTCCGCTAGTTTCTATGAAATAATCAAACTGAGTCTTTTTTTCAAACGAAATACAGGCAAGCAGCAAGGTCCCTACTGCGCATGTCTTTAGCTCTGTTATTTCGATGACGCAATCAAACTGCGTCTTATTTCTAACGAAATACAGGCAAGCGGCGAGCCCCCTACTGCGCATGTCTGTTTTAACTCCGCTAGTTTCGATGGCACAATCAAACTACGCAATTTGTTTAAGTTGCAGATTAATATGTACATGACAAAAATCCCTCTTTAAAAGATGTTGCTTAAACATCAATTTTAAGAATATTTAATACATATATTTGTACGACATACAAAAAAAAATACATTAAAATACAATTCTGTAAATAATATACACTATATATTTACGAACAACAAATAACTTACTCGAAGGAAATGCATTATATCTAACCCAATTCACGACACAAACGAAATTCGATCTTATGCAATTAGACTTAATGTCTACAAAACCAAGAAGAATTACAATCTAAGTAGTTACTTAGACAAGAATTACTTGTTAAGTAAAATACACTGAATAGATTTTGACAATAGTAGTTTCTTTACTAGTAAGAAGGTTTACACATTAATCGTCATAACTTTTCATAAAAGCTAGAACAATTTAAGTCTTACAAAACTACGGAGTGATTAATAAGTCAATATTTAAGTTTAATTATTAAGTCAATATTGAAAAGTAGTCACTGCATTAATACAAAAAATATTTACGAATGTTTCTTTAAGAAAGTTATTGCTTCGTAATAAGTTTATTACAAACATTAATAATACTCTAAATTATAATAACTACGAGGAAGACTGTAAATAAATGTAAAATATAATGGATTACATAATATTTAGTACGGAAAAATAATTACATTAACATTACAGCTTTAAAATCTAGTCGGTACACGTTTTACGTATTTTATTCTATTAATAGATTTTATTATACTAATCAATACTTTCAATGACAGACAGACATATTCAACAGATCTTTAATGCTAACAAGGGTATGATAGTGAATTTAAGGGTTCACATTCATATTATTTGGGGAATCCAATATAAATATTATCCATGTGTTACTTTGTTAATTAGCATATTATATGTATTCGGTCTTTGGTTTTTTTCTTATTGGTGGTATTCTGAATATGATGATGAGTTATGGAAGCTTTATAGTCCTATTAAAAGGATACAACGTCGAGAAGCCGTCAGAATTTGGAACAATTTAAAAAAGGGACAGTCCCGACTTCGATAGGCGTATTAATTTTTTTTTTTTTACATTTGAAGAAATTGTTTCACCAGTTTAATTATCAACGACCTAGCAAACTGTTGGGAATAATTTTATCGAACTCTTGATAGGCATTACTCGAATAAGCGTAAGTCTTATAATTGGCTTCAAAGGTTCGATAACTCATTGTAATTGCTTATTGTATTATTGAGGGGTCAAAGGCGAATGTATTGTTTTTTTTTTCTTTCAGGTTGGTGATCTCCTACCTTACCTATTCCATGTCAACATTGATAAAATGTAGACAGCTACGACAACATAGAGCATCCGATACCTCGCATCTAACTAGGTCATGGCCTAGCGATAAATTACGCGCATTTCAATCGCCGCTATATAGTTGTTTATTGACTGCAAATGCGTTGTGTGAATTGTGGCTTTAATTATCCATATTGGGTATTTCCGATACAAAAATGATTTCACTAGCGGCTAAGTGTAACAAAAAAATCGGTTGTCTGTAAAGTCGGTTTACTGAAAATAGTTGAACGTGACAACGCCATAAGAAAATACTGATGGAATGGTTTCATTTTTCAAAAGAAATTTTTAATTTTATTTGTTTGATATATATTTTGTATGGACAATTGATACCACATTCACTTTTCACTGAACTTTATACTTGACGAAAACATGTAAATGTATAATTGTATAGCAGCTGTCTACGCGGATGCATCGCTCATTCAAGTAGGAGAGAGATATGTCGAACGCTGCCGAACGCGGAGGGCGATTGTGCTTCTTTGTCGTTCGTTGCGCGCTCTCGCTTGCACTTCAAGCCGTAAATGGAACGCTTCAGAGCGAGGTAACGCCGCATGAGTCATGTTTTTTCGTGCGTGCAGCCGGCTCCATCGAATTATAAGACGTTGTCACGTCAATATGCTGAGGTTGAGTCTTTATTATTTATTTTGTTAAAATTTACTTTGCTCAATGTTCGTCTCGAATACTGGAATATCGATAAATAGTAATTTTGCCGTTATTTATTCTAGCTCATTTTATTAATTGACTGACCTACTTTCATCACTCTCGCCCACTCCCCGTTGAAAACCGGAAATGGCGTTATGGTGTTGGCTTTAAATTTTATGGGCCGAAAATACATGTCATTTAGATTGAAACTAGAAAAAATATCCAGTCCAACGGGTGTCTATTTATTGATTCTATATATTCTTTCTCTCAGGATACAGAAAAGATTGTATGAAGAACAAATTACAAGGACCTTAATGAATATGTAAATAAAAATATCACATTTTAAAATTTCTCTGTTGTTATTATTGTACTTTATTAAGTTTTTACTTATCCAAATGTTTTTATTATATGTGACACCAAGAAGCGATGCACTAAAGACGAGTTTCTAATATAAAGAGGGAGTGGATCTGCAAGATATCTCGAAGCGACGCCGCATTTGTATTGGTGCGTATCTAGTTAAGAGTTAATTATTTCAATAAAGAATAATATAATGTAAAATACTAATATAATGTAGAAAAACCGAAACAATGGAAACGCACTATTAAAAGTGGCGACAATTGCAAAAATTTAAATGCTGAAAACACAAATTGCAGGTAAATTGTGTTATGGATAATTGTCACTCATTTCTGAATTGATTTCCGTGGAAATAACTATTCCTGCAACACCCGTAGTTTGAAAAAAATATATTATTCACCCTTAAAATAAAATTATATATACTATACGTGTTGATATTTATTCAATCTCTTTGAATTTGGCATGATCTGCAAGTTGTGTCAGAAATTATTCTTATTTTTGAGACATATTTGGCTTAAACTAACACCACCCTCACTCTTCGCGTGAGAATCGTAAAAGGCGACTAAGGAATTCTCCGGAAAACGGTGTTTTTTTTTTAGGAAAGAAGGATTACTTAGAGCCCGGAGGCCTTTCCAGTTTCTCCAGGACAGGTAGAGTGAGGCTCAGGCAGGAGGGGCGGGTTTTGCTAACATCTGTCCGAGCGCTTCCCAAGGAGACCTGAGATCTCAATGAAAAGTGGGTAACACCCTTGTCTTAGTATTTATATCATCATATTGCGATCGTCACCCGGCATTCCCACGTGATATGGCGTATTGTGAGCCCGCGTGAATGGCAGTCACTATCCTGCCAATTCCTACCTTCAAGCAGTTATGCGTTACGATTTAATGAATGCAGTTGACGTTATGTAATACAATGAAGACTACGACCTCATTTCTCGAGGTGGGTGGCGCCATTCCCGTTGAGGTCTATGGGCTCCGATAATCACTTTACTTTAGGCCAGGTGAGCTATAAGAAAACAATAAAAGATAAGAATAAGCAATTACTGTAATTGCTTCGATTACGGATTTTGTCAGATTTATTTATTATCAATAGAAATTGATTCCTACCACTACCACGTTCACGGCTAAGGATCAAAACAATCGTTGTGATATTTTGTAAGCGCGTAAACCGTTCGAAAGTATGTATGTACTATTTTGACGAACGTAAACAATGATTTGCACATACTATTTGACGGTTTAAAGTAGATATGATTTTGTAATGCATTGTTGTTACAAAAATTACATTGAATTTATGCTCTCATTGTGTCCCCGTTCTTCTCTGCCGCAAGCCCGGTAATTATCGATTTCAGTCATTCAGCACACAGATCGCCGTACAAGGTAGATGTGGCATTTTACGCGACGCAACACAATTACTATTATATTGAAATTAAATGTTAGTATTGATTTTAAGGAAACGGTTCGGCAGTTTGCGTTTTGATAAACTTATATATTTGAAAAGATAGAATGAGGCAAAATCACGATGATAAGTACAAAAGATCCGTCCATGTTTTTTTTTTTTTTTTACCTGTATGTATGCATTTAGAGGACGTTTGCAGGCAATTCAACGTCTCGATTTAAATTTCAACGAGTTCTAATTAGTGTATCATGAGTCTTTGTAACTGATGACACAACACTAATGTACCTACTACATACCATCTGACTGATGTAGCCCTGAACGAGAAACGAAGCATTTTGCTACTGACAAACTCATCAAGTTTAGTAGTATCCATTACGTTTGTCTTATCGAACAGAATTTACAAAGCGTGGTTTTTCAATGCATACCAATTTATATAGTATATTCCTATAGTATATATTATATATATTCCTATAGTATACTTATTTTAGGCCACCAATAATTGAACTTTAGGCTCACCTAGAACGATCGGGACTAAATAATAAAAAAAAACTTCATTGTTTTCGATTTTATGATTTGAGAGAGCTGTTTTTATTTTCTTTAAAAAAAAATGTTTTGTTACTGCCAACAGTAACGTATTTTTTATTGATCTAAACAGATATGGTATATCCGATTATTGTATAATTAACTATTGGTTAAAAACTATGTCAAAACTTAAGATTTACGATTGGAATTAAAAATCACACAATATAATTTTCTCTGTATTCAAATTCATTATCAGTCAAACTATCGTAAAACAATGTAAACTGTCTCGTCATTTTAATAGAAATGAAGTGTCTAAATACACAATATAAAAAGCTACACTTACATATTATTATATTATTGTACAAAATGTAAAAAATAATTTTGCTTAATCTATTAACAAATACAGGTGAACAACGCATACGAAAAATTTTTTTTTAAAAAGATGTCTCCGGCAAATATTTTTTGATTTGAATAAATAAAGATTGTCACAGGAGATCATATTTTATTACGTGGTATCCGTTTAGCGAAATCTCTTAGTTTCGCGGTTCTATTAAGGCATAATTCAAACGACATGTACTTACATTTATATTGGAAAAAATTAATTAGTTAATAGACAACATATCTTTTTGTATTTACCATATTATTTGGCTAATTATTTAAACAAATTCTTTGTTATATCATTTGTCTATAGCCCGCTTGGGTGTTTGACCCTTTCCTTTGCTGTAGAAGATATCCAAGAACAAACCTGGAAACCAATAAATATAAATTAATGTTATGTTTTTTACTACCCGCCTTTTCAATGTTATATAACCTAAAAGGTAATTTCATATGTTCAAGAGTACAGAGACATATTTTACTTCAATTTGTAAAGAGAATATCGTAAAGAACTAACAAAGACAGCGATTTATATAAACTCACCAGAAAACACAAGAGCAGCTCCGATAAATTGACGCAGTATAAGAACGTTGCCAAAGAATATAACCGATGCTAGGACAGTGAAAAATTTCCTAGTGGTCGTCACCACCGAGCATGGCAGTGGACCGAATTCCGAAACCTGGAATATAAATGTGTTTACGTATTATTATTATTGTCATAATACAGGATATTCTATCTATATCCTATAATATATTAAATAGCTACTTTTTTTTAAATGGGGTCGACATTTCGAGTTATGTCCAATTTCAGAGTCATTTGGAGGGCAAAGCCAAGGTGGTGTCCAAAATGCTGGGAGTCCTCAACAAAGTGAAGCGGTACTTCACGCCTGGACAAAGATTTTTGCTTTATAAAGCACAAGTCCAGCCTCGCGTGGAGTACTGCTTCCACCTCTGTGCCGGGGTTCCCGCCTACCAGCTACTTTGACTCCATATAGAAGAGGGCCGTTCGGATTGTCGATAATCCCATTCTCACGGATCCTTTGGAACCTCTGCGGAGGGACTTCAGTTCTCTCTGTATTTTGAACCATATATTCCTTGGGGAGTGCTCTGGGGAATTGTTTGAGATGATCCCATCATCTCGTTTTTACCATCGCACCGTCCGCGACCCAAGTAGAGTTCATCCATACTACCTAGAGCCACTGCGTTCATCCACAGTGCGTTTTCAGAGATATTTTTGCCACACAACATCCGGCTTTGGAATGAGCCCCCACCACGGGGTTTTCCGAGCGCTATGACATGTCCTTTCTCAAACGAGGTTTGTGGAGTAAACTTAACGGTAAGGAGCGGCTTGGCTCTGCCCTTGGCATTTCTGACGTCCATGGGCGACGGTAACCATTCACCATCAGACGGGCTGTATGCTCGTCTGCCAAGGGCAATAAAAAATGTATATATATGGGTTCCGAAATGTAGATTTTCTGTACAATTGTTCTGTACGGTAATTTTTGTGCGTATGACATTCATGTCATGTTTTACGATCTATTCTTAACCGCCTTCAAAAAAGAAACAAAAAGTTGGTTTTTAGTTTGACTCTATTTGTTTATACATATTATGTATGTGTACCTATCCTACTTCGTTTAATTAAGATCTCACCAATAGTTTTGGAGTTATACGAGAGGAAGCCTACCCAATAGAAAAGGTCGATGATACAGTTTCTGGTTAAAAGTTGCCCTCATCGTAAACAGCTTCAGCTTTACTACGGTTCTCTTTTTATAGCCCTAGACCGGGATGGACTAGCTCATGATCCTGGCGCTACAACTCTTGGAGACGGAACACATGATGCTCTACAGTAGAAAATAGCCAACTTGGTGGTACCTAACGGAGCTTACTAATACTCCCCCTCCTGCACTAGCAGTAAATAGCACTAATAAAACGGTATTATTAGTAAGGAAGCAATAATAAGTTTGTATCCCGCCGCTAGTTATAAGATATTTAAATGTACATAATAATATGTATTTATCAATGTCTTATTTTCTTGCCTGATTCCTGGTGGGAAGGCGTATCATAAGCCTGCAATAATCGTGTATTTAGTGTTGAAGGCCACGAAACTGTTATTATTCTAAAGCAATGGAGACTTTGACCTCGTGTTGAGCGAGAGCGGCGGTGGTATCCACATTGTGCTGTGCTTCGGCTTTATGCTATACATCGAGTATCGGACACCAGGGAAACCACGAACTCGTGAGGAGACAATGAGAACCATTTTCAGCTAATCGATAGGACAAGAGTGAAATTAGCCGGAAACACAAGAAATACACACGCTTTTTTTGATAGCGCTATATCCCATGGTACGATTGGTCACATTATTGCACAGCAATCATCTAACCAAGAAGTTATGTTGTTTCGCAAGGTAAAACAGGGTAATAGCCCAAGAGCCTGCGACGACCAGACCTTCGTTATTTTATAAAAACTGAAAGTATTTTTTTTTATTGCCCTTGTAGGCAGACGAGCATACGGCCCACCTGATGGTGAGTGGTTACCGTCGCCCATGGACTTCAGCAATGCCAGGGGCAGAGCCAAGCCGCTGCCTACCGCTTAATACTCTCCACAAGCCTCGTTTGAAGAAGGACATGTCATAGCGCTCGGGAAACACCGTGGAGGGGAGCTCATTCCATAGCCGGATGGTACGTGGCAAAAAAGATCTCTGGAAACGCACTGTGGATGACCGCAGTGGCTCCAGGTAGTATGGATGAACTCTACTCCGGTGGCGGGCGGTGCGATGGTAAAAACGAGATGCCGGTATCATCTCGAACAATTCCTCAGAGCACTCCCCATGGAACATACGGTACAGAATACAGAGGGAACCGAAATCCCTCCGCAGACCCAGAGGCTCCAAACGATCCGTGAGAATGGTTTCTCCGTGTATGTCTCCAACACAGGTAAGAACGACCCGCGACTATAGAGTACCGATTGTGGTTACTTGGGCAGGTAACAGGCAGTAAAGGTATATAAAATAGTAACTTAAAGTACTTCCTAATACTTCCTAGTACTCTGGATATTTTTTAATGTTTTGTATGGTTTTAATTTTCCTTTCCTAAAGAACGCAGGATAAATTTCATAAATGACAGCTGATGTGCAGTAAAAGTTCACAATAGACTAAGCACTTCACTCACACCCTGAACAGTTGTTACCTCGCGCTCGCACCTACAGCGGGCTCTCAGTGTGTCTGGCAAGATGTAAGAACCATTAAAACTGTCTGGCTTTTGGGGTAACCTATTTTTATAAGTTCCTAAGTAACATATATAAAATTCAGCTTTTGTAGTATAACGAAAGTATAATTAAAATTTATTAAAGTTTAGGGGTATCTGGCAGGGGGTAGCAACTGTAAAAATTGTCCGGCAATGGATATCGAAGTCGATTTTGAAGTCGTTGTGGCCTAAAGGATAACACGTCCGGTGCATTCGTATCGAACGATGCACCGGTGTGCGAATCCCGCAGGCGGGTACCAATTTTTCTAATGAAATACGTACTCTTTTTTTTTTTCCACAGGAGAAAATCGCCGGATCCCCACCCGCGCGGCAGGTGGGGTATGTGGGAGTTAAACCTCACTAAAAACTCCTGCCGCTCACAACCGGCGCCCTACCTCGGACCGGGCCGGAGCCCAGTCGGGGCTATTGAAACGGCGGGACGGCGGAAATAATAACAAATGTTCACGATTGACTTCCACGGTGAAGGAATAACATCGTGTAATAAAAACCAAACTCGCAAAATTATAATTTGCGTAATTACTGGTGGTAGGACCTCTTGTGAGTCCGCACGGGTAGGTACCACTGCCCCGCCTATTTCTGCCGTGAAGCAGTAATGCGTTTCGGTTTGAAGGGTGGGGCAGCCGTTGTGACTATACTGAGACCTCAGAACTTTTTCGGTAGGCAGCGGCTTGACTCTGCCCCTGGCATTGCTGAAGTCCATGAGCGACGGTAACCACTCACCCAGGTGGGCCGTATGCCCGTCTGCCTACAAAGACAATAAAAAAAACTATATCTCAAGGTGTGTGGCGCATTTACGTTGTAGATGTCTATGGGCTCCAGTAACCACTTAACACCAGGTGGGCTGTGAGCGCGTCCACACATCTAAGCAATAAAAAAAAATCTCGTGATTTCTAAAGATATTCTGGAGTAAATAATAAAAAAAAATAGCTTTATACTTTAACGAATTTTAAGTACTATTTTATATACCTATACTGCTAGTTACTTGCCCAAGTAACCACCACAATCGGAACTCTATAGTCGCGGGTCGTTCTTATCTATGCTGGTGACATACACAGAGAAACTTTCAGCTTTAATAAAATAAAGAAGGTCTGGCCGTCGCGGGCTCTTGCTGTATAAGTTTGAATAGACCTATTGGATCACATGTTATTGAACTCTTAAAAGACATGAACAAAAGATATCCGATACAAAGTTAAAATAATGAATTCTAATGTTTATTTATGTGTAAAGTATCGATATACTTTAATTATGTTGACATTAGTAGTTTTTGTTTTAATTGGATTAATAATTAATTTTGAAAATTTTGTTGTCAAATGGCGCATCCAATCATTACTATGCTCTTTGGTCAATCGGCAATATCTACGTTTAATAGTTATAGTGTAACTATTTGTCAGAAGTAGGTAGCATCTGGGAAAGACTAACCTAGATATCCCAGTGCGCCAAATGATGTCTTGTCTCATAATATCACTAAAGGCTTTTTTAGCTGTTACTTTTACTACTTCAGACCCTAATGACGACATTCAAATTCATATTGGAATAAATGTGAATGTTTTACGATAGAAATATACATAATATGTACACAAGACTACAAATTTGACGATAGTTCGTATTACTACGTATTAGAGATTACGATATTAGGGAACACGATTACATTGAGTAACTTCTTTTTTTTTTCAAGCGAGTATAATGTGTCAAGGGAGGATATTTTAACGGTGATTGTACTGAAAAATGGAATGGATTATATGCTTTTGAATTTTTTTTAAATCCAATTTATATTTTAGTCTACAAAAAAAAAGGCTATTATAGACGGCTATCGATAAGCAGTATAGATAGCTGTAGATAAGCAGTTTCTAGAATAAATAAGAATAGTATTTCTTTAATTCAGTTTCATTTTTGCGCTATTTTAATTATACGATTTTAATATAATATACATAATATGTATTTTTGTTTTATTTCAATGCTAACAATTTCATTACTGTTTCAGAAAAAGCTTTTAGCCAAGCTACGGATGTTATTCATAAATAAGGATGTTACATTTTATACTCGTATTCCATGCTGTAATACTGCACTGAAATACAACGCGCAACGTATTTTCCAATCGATTCGGTTCAGTATATACCGGGTGCATACTAGAGTTAAATTTGTCTTTATTCAAGCATTCAGGCTTTACTGGTGATTTCAAGCCGTCATGAATTTTTATTTATTGCTTAGATATGTCAGTCAATAAGCTCACGGCCCACCTGTTGTTAAATATAAACTGGAGCCCATAGGCATCACGTGCCGCTACCCGCTTTGATGCTTGAGGTCACGTCTCAATTGTATAGTGATTACGCAAATTATAAGTTCTGCTGTTTTGATTTTTATCAAACGATGATGGGGCCACAGTGAAAGTCATTCGTGAACACGAGTTAAATACGTAT